GGCCATGGTGCCTCGAGGAGCCGCTCTGCCGCCAGGCACCGAACCGCCGCCGCCGCCGCCGTCGGTGTGAGAAGCGCGGAGCCACCGCCGCGCCACCGGGGAGCGGCAGCGAGAGGAGGAGGAGGAGGAGGAGGAGGCGGCGGCGACCCCGCGGGCTCAGGTGATTCCCGCACGCGTCGCCTCAGGCACGCGCGCGCGCCCCCGCGGCGCCCCCCGCCCGCCACTCCCGCGTGTGTCCGCCTCGGTGCCGGGGCTCCCCGGCCTTCCCTTCGCGCAGCGCCCCCCCGCTCCTCCCCGCCCTCCGCCCCCCTTCCCCTCCCCGCTCCCCTCCTCCGCCGGCGCCGGAGCCGCCGGGGTTACTGGAGTTCAGCGGGGCCGGGCAGGATGCGCGGGGCTGTCCGCGGCGCCGGCGGTGAGCGCGGGAGTTGCGCCGGGCAGGAACTAAGTGTCCTGTCGGGGAGTGGGGTAGCGGGGGGCCGCGGCCGCCGCCTGCCCGTGCTGGCCCCGGGGATGAGCTGCGGGCCGCTGCAGTTTTGACGGAGCCGCTGGCTTGGCCGGGGGGCTGCGGTGCTGCCCGCCCTGCTTGGGTTCGGGCTGTACCCTCGCTGGGGTCGGGCTGTACCCTCGCTGGGGTCGGGCTGTGCCTCCGGTGCCCGCAGCCGGCTGTGCATCCCCCGGCCCGCTGCCGTCACGGCTGAGACACGGAGCGGAGCAGGGCACCTCTCCTGGAGACGGGCCCTGGAGCATATGGTCATGCTTATGTAAGGAGCAGCCTGCCCGTGGCGTGGAGAACAGGGCTCTTTCCATCTTCCCTACTTATGTCATGTCAGTCGGTTTTATGAGACCTTCTGTAGCCTTTTAAAATAAGGTTTGTGATGAGAATTTTCGTTTTTCTTCTGTGCTCTGAGAGTAGTTCTGCGTACCAAGTATACTTGTGACAGATGGAGCTCTTACAGGGATTCTTACCTTCTGGTTGTGCTGCCTTTTTGGGTGTGTGTGTGGGTCCTGGTGCATAAATGATATTATTGGAGGAATAAAATGAAAAAAATATGTTGGGGTTTTTTTGTTTTTTGTTTGTTTTTTTTTGTATGTAATGCACGCAAGTATCAGTAAACAAAGGAGAATATTAGAAACTATGGGCAAGATACACCAAAGAAAAGCGAGATCTCGGTAATATGTTTGACTCATAAATATTAGCCATTTGTGATCTCATTCAGACAACTGGTTTTTTTTAATCCGTAGGTGTTGCGGTATTCATTCTTTATGCAGTTTTTAGTACAAGAGTTTCTGTTAACTTGTGTTTCGGACTTGGATACTTTTATGTATATTTCAGTTAGGGTTTGTCCTGTGTTTGTAATATGTGTGGGGAGATAAAACTTGGGAGGAGAAGGAGGATATAATTATTAATTCTTTTTGATCACTCTTGTAGGTTAATGAAGATAGATTTAAATGTTGAAAAAAGTATTTTATTTAGGTGGGGGCTCTAAGCTATTGGACCCTGTGACTTCGGTTAATCTGTAACCTTGGCCTTTTTTTTTTGCCGGTTATCTTGAATACGAGGGAGGCCATGAGAAACTGTATCTATTTTGTTACTAGTGAGC